CTCATATTTTAATCCGCAATGGAATGCTAATATTTAACGTGTATGCGTATCAATCGTCTTTTATGGAGAGTAGCTACGAACGAATTCCACTTGCTCTCGAGCAATTTTTGTGCTGTTATTCTATCGATTTATAGGTGAATGAACGAATGGATGTCAAATACAAACGCTTGCGTGACAACATTCCGACGTACACTTCGCGATCCTATAGAATAGCAATGATCTCACGTTGATATTTCAGTTATTCGATGAAATATATATATATACATTATATATATATATATATATATAACTGGACTGTGAGCACGACTCGCGCGTGCTGAAAATAGAGAGTTTTCGCTCACGGCAAGGATCGTTCTCAAGGATGATTCCGCGCTCGCGCACGAGCTAACGCTCGTCTTCTTTTAAACGCGCAAAGGTGAAAGTTGAGCGAAGCGTCGTACTAGAGGTTTTTCATATTTAAAGGTCAACAACTGATGGTCGACAATAACTGCGACGTTTCTTCCGCTTACGTGGCAATTTTGCGCGAATTTCGCAATGCGTGACATATCGAAGCGAAAATATTCGAGAAGCCTTATAATTTTTTAATGAAGCGGCGCAGCGAGCTCACCGTAGTATTGAATAATGTATTCTCGAATAAAACGCCAACGAGTTAGAAATAATTCAAATTTTGAATCCGAAGGTTTGAAGTTTCTCTCGGTCGTTATATTAGCTAAAATTTTAAAATATCTTCCAAAGATCGGTATATCAAGCTGTATTATTAATTACAGCTTTAAAGCATAATGTTAATAATTTTACTTCAATAATGGAATATAATTCTGTTACCTAGATAGCAACCAAATACTATTATATTATCATTATTATTTTAACAAATTATTTTCTTCATTATCTCCTGCAATTTTAATCATTTTCAATTAAGATTTTAATCTTCACGATATTAGATTCTTAATTTTAACAATTAACTTCACCTTTTAACTTAATTACATTATTATTGCATTTGTATCATTTTAATAGCATAAAATAATGTAAGATTAATATTAATATAAGAATAAAAAGTTTTTTTTTAACAAGTTAATGAACTATTTCGAAGATAAGCGTATATAGAAAAATTTCGAAACGACGCAAAAATAACGTGGATGATATTTAATCATTTCAACATGGACGGTTTCAGAGACGATTTAAGCGACTGCCGACAGTTGTACACGCATTTTCTTTCACGCGAACTATTCATTAATCGTCCCATAGCCATCCGTTGAAAGGGAAGGCCGGCTTAAAAGCGCGCGATTCGTGTTTACGAGTGTCTGCGTTTCCTCTTATTTCGCGACGACTTCTTTCGCCGGGGAACGGATTTTATAACCGCGGCGCATCCCGTCGTTCGACTCCGTGTATCTCGCATGATGCTCTCGCAGGCTCGTTAATATATCGTCGAACGAAAGTAAAAACTTTCATTCGCCGCTGCGGCTGACGTCGTGCGTGTGCCGACGCGCTCTTCCTAGGAAGAAGATTCTCGGTTACGTATTCAACCGCGTATGTGCAGCCGCGGGTCGCGACTTTACGAGATGCTTGGATAACGCGCAATATATTTTCGATGCGTCGCGAGTGCGGTAATTGCGTACTCCGTTAGCAACATTTATCGGCCTCTTAAATCGCTGAAAAAATATCGCTCGCAATCATTATTAGTGGTGAAGCGATATGATTCATGCGCACTTCGGAGTATCGCGTCGACATTATAATTATTTTATGTAATATTTTTTAATAAGATATCCATAAATTTTGTCAGCAAAATCTAATAATGGAACATAACGCCTAAGTGAAAATATTCTTTCCTGCCTTTTTTTTTTAATCAATCACGCTTCTATATTTAGACTTATTATAATAACAAATACAAGTATGTAACGATGTGATAATTTCAATGTGAACATGAATTTTGCGTAAGAAAAATAACCGCGCGCACCTATTATATAAAAATTATCATTTGAGAAACATAAGCATCTAATCTTTTTTTCATAAACCTCTTATGGGATCTCTTTGTAGTCTCATACCATCTTTGTGGGTAGCACGCTCGAGTAGAAGTTGACCGGTTACTGCCCTACATTTTCCTTCCAATTTCCTTTTGTTCCGTAATGCAGGTCCTCGGGTCTCCCTTGAGGTTTCTCTACTCGTAGAATTTGATTGATTTGCTACGATTTCCGTAGAATTTCAATGCAGTTCGATGATGCGGAATCTCCTCCCTTGATAGATATAGATATTTAAGAACTAAAAGACAGGATTAACTCTCGGTTGGTGAAAGTACGTCATTACGACGCTCGTCGTGATCGCGTCGTTGGATTTTGCTTAAATTGCATTGGAAATAAGACGCCCATCTCGACGATTTCCATAGTAATCTAGAGGTCTGTTCGTGACGAAAACTATGGGCGGCGTGAAATTATGATTATGATGATAGAAAGAAAACAATGTTATTGGATAATTTCGTATCCTATAATCGGAAGCTGTTTCTAGGAAATTTAAACGTTAATAAATTGTAAATTGATTCTTCATCTTTTGCAAAAATAGTGAAAATCTAATTTGTAATAAAACTTTTAATAAGAAGTTTAATAAAAGAAAAATTGCTTGAACAAATTACAACAGTAAATAACTATTTTTTAAATTATAAAAATGGCATTTAAATGTTAACTTTTTTATTAATTGAATTATTAATTTTATATATTGTTTAACTTAATTAAAAAGGCTTGAATTTAAATGCTTATTTATCAAGCTTAGAGATAACTTATATGATCTAATCAAAACTTTTTTATATTTTCTATCGTAACATAATATCAAATCTATTTCTCTTATACTCTTGCCAAATATAATGCTAATTAGCAAAGCAATCTTTTGCTTAATATCAATTATGCAATTAATTAATAACAGGAATTTGTTCTAATTGCTCATTTTATCATTATGTAATGCGAGATGGTTAATAAGATTAAATTGGCGATTAAATATAATGATGACATAATCGCATGCCGTTCCATAATAGCGTAGTAAAACAAAAAGTTATTGCATATTGAAATAGTGCAATTTGATATTTAATATACAAGTCGCCAAAAAATATGCTTCGTTTAATAGATTATTTTAACATAATAAAGTTTTTTATAGGCTCTCAGACATTGTATACGAAACGATAGATGCAGTGTAAATTTTTCATAGATTTCTGTTTTAATCCTGGTTTCGATATTTGTTTTTATTATCGGTACTTATTTTATTAGATACATTTTATATAAACCACGAGATGAAACGAACTTATCTCTAGCCATCGTGGTGATGATACTGCGAGCCGAAATAGCTCAGTTGGGAGAGCGTTAGACTGAAGATCTAAATGTCCCTGGTTCGATCCCGGGTTTCGGCAAGTTTCTTTTTGCCGTTGTTTTTCAGTAAACATAATCTACGGGAGAAACCATATTTAATTTTCATTAAAAGAAAATTGTTTTCGTTGCTTTAAGCATTTTCTGATATTTTATTCTTCATTTTATTTCTAGACACATACTTTCTTACATATTAGAATATCTTTGTTTTTAGATTCTAGATGTTCAATCAAACATAGCTAATTAAATTATATTGTTTTAGAATCTAAAATTATGCAGCTATTAAATGCAATACTCGTAGAATTTCACGAAGAGATTCACACGGATTAGATCATTAAGAATAAATTAAAATTTTTTTCTCACTTTAATCAATGCATTAACCTTTTAGTTATATATTCTTAAGAATATGCGCTTAAATAACGCGCATTATTAAATTATTGCGTACTCGAAACGAAATTCTCTCCGACGATGCTTATCCATAAAGCCGTCGACCTAGCCCCAAGCTACGATTGTATCATTCGCATGAGTAAGCGAATACGATTATATCGATAATAATGGTTCTCGATGCAGAAGTCAGCAACGCGTAATTCACGATTCAACGACCTGTTCATTGAGCATAACTCGGCGAGCTGTAAGGTTCGACATAGGGTAACTGAATTATACGCGCAAATTGTAATTATACACACATTCATTACATACTCGTTCGCAGTAAGACAAGATACTGGATGTGACTAGCGCGTGACGCAAACCATTGTATGTTAAAAGTATTGACATTAAGCCTTTTGCGTTTAATGGATTTTACACGGAATGTTTTAGAACCGATGTCACTTTATTCATCTTTTACGAGTTCTTCAAAGACTATTTCTCCGTCTATTAAAAATATTCTTGATGCAAATAAAATTAAATTTGCAATAAATGTTACAAAATAATGTTTCATAATCCGACGCATCTTTCTGGCGGATATAAATTCCGAGATAAATTGATGAAAAAAAGAATTTGCTTTAAAAATAATTTTTGAAAGAGGCATTTGTGATCGAAATGATTGATTAAAGTAAACATTTTGTTGCGAAACGTTGGTAGGCGTGTCAGTTTCCAGCCGTATTAGAGCACCCGCACCATATTACTTAATCCTGTTGCATATTTATCGTGGCTAATTATACGCCCGTTCTAGATTCGAGCTCTTCGATCTGTTGTCTGAGCCAGCATCCTACGCGCACGCGTTTCCCTCTTGAAATTCAGCAACGCGGCCGCCTTCTCTTATCTCCGTTTATTACCTCATCGACCGACAGACCGATATTGCCCGCGGGATTCCGAAATGCACGGTGCTGTCGGAACAATTATCTCTTAATTAGATTTCTGCATCGGGAGCATATACATTTTATGGAGCTTTTACATATCGAGATCCGTCCACTATCTTCATTTCCGTTTCGCTTGACATTTCATCTGTTCCGCGGGGAAATACGTTGGCCAGTAATTCTACGTATTAATAATTTATGTCTCCGTAATGTTAAGTAATTTTTCTCTTTTCATCGCAAGATTTAAGAGACTTCTCTCTATTTTGAGAATTTTTAGACAAATAAAAACTAATATTGGTAATTAATGAGCGATATTACTCTGTCACAACTTGCTTAATATATCATATTTTATTGTTGTTTACAGAGTCGTGACTGGCGATCTATCAAACATGTTACGCTTCGTGATACTTCTGCTTTTATGTAAGTATTTTAATTGTTCATGATGTCGCATCCTTTAATAAATTAATATTAGAAAAACTGTGACAGCAGCAATATTTATTTCAAATAATTAGATAGCAATGGTAAAAATTTCTATACGCAATAATAATTTTAGTCCTTTTAGTACAGAAGGAACGTTTCTGAAACATTTTTGTTACAATCGTAGAACAACATATTATCTTAATTAATTGTGTGTATGTTAGACGCGCTGATCGGCGACTATTTCGTCTCGCAAGCTTTTTTATTTTTGTAATTAATTGATGTCTCATAAACCAATTATTTGAAATAAATAAATCTAAATTTAGAAATGTAAAACTTTTAGTTTCTCAATTAAACTTGTTTCAGTTTGTTGTAATTTTCACAAGTAACGATAAAATATAACTGCTGTTGATAAGCTGACCAGCTGATCGTAGCAGTTATATAATAGCTTACGCGCGCCACACGTATGTACGTCGCGTTCATTCATAAATGATGCGCGCTCGGCGGATTTTCAAAGGACTATATTTTGGGGAAAAATTGAGGCAGCAATATGCGATAAAAACGGATTTCCCGTGCTTTGCATTTCACCGCGTATATGTTTTTATTACGACATGTATATAGCGTGTGTATACTAGTGTAAAATATGGTAAAGCATAAATAGCAAAGCGTAAAATACAGAAAAGCTCGATTCAAGAATTGTGAGATACTTATTTATTCGCAAATAATATTTATATTCAGCTAGTAATTAAAGTATTGAATTTATTAAAAAGGAGAAATTTGGCGAGTATAAGACACGAGCAAAGGTAAAAAGCAATCGGAAAAACTGTGCGCTTCGTGACAGCGTCTTTCACGAGCTTCGCTCTTCGACGAGTCAATTCATTCGGGGTGAATCAGCGAAATAAAAATTCCCTTTTCGAAGCTCGCGCGTCGTTCTCTTTTTATCGTCCTTTATCTTCCACCGGTCTGGCATTTAAAGGACCGGTGGGAATACGGGAATACAATCAGCGGGATGGCATTTGCGCCATCGTAATGGTCATCGGCGATCGGCGGTGGACAAACGATTAATCTCTATTGTACTGCGCGCGGTGTGGGATTGCTCAATATTTTTATTTATTATTTTTCCCCTCCCCCTCACTGTTGCCGCTGATCCGTGCCGGTGGCCGATAATTACGGACCGATCATGTACCTGCATCTCTGACAGCGTGGGAGCGCCGTGGCATCCTGTCGCGCGCGCGGATAAAGTCAAGGATTCGCTTCCGCGGCGAAGGTGAATCCGACGGAGGGATCGCTCAGTCTGGGATTTACGGCCGTTTACGCGTCGCTTCTCTCCACTTCTCGAGAAGCACGCGGCACAATCTTGCAGCACAGGAAGATCGATGTTGTTGACTCACCGGCCATTCGCGCGACATTTGTCACCGCGCTTGCCGCCGCCTGCATCGCAGAAATATGGAAATTTTATTTGCCTCCCCACGGAATTTGCGTACAAAAGACTTCGGGAAATGGCACACTTAAGCCACGTAAGAGAAAACCGTGAGAGGCAATTAGTTTATATCTATTAACAGGCTTAATTACGATCTCGGCTAACAATGAGTATTCTTATAGCACTTTTATAATATAGCGCAACTAATTAAAATAAAAATTGTACTTGTCTAGCGTGATTTACGTAATTTTAGTTCAAATATTTTGCCGCAGGATGCGGGCGAAAATTTAATTTCACCGTCACGGATAATTAATCTTTGAACAGTGTCGTGCAATTTGTGAACAAATCTCACGCGGAGAAAACATAATTTCTAATAATTGTGGGATAAGTCCGAAAGACTGTGTGTAAAAGAATATTGAATCTCCTCAATGGCTCTTGATTTTGCACTTCCGACCAAGACTCTCTGTAGAGTTTCACGCGCCGCGGTACATTATTGTCGCAAGCTCCTCGTATTTATACAACAATTCATAGCGAAATGAAGAGATAGCGGACTAACTGAAGGAGCTACTGAATAACATTTGAGAAACCTCTCAACGTAGCGAAGTAGAAAAGTTCGCGACTACTTTGTTGGAAACGCTCGATTCGATATCCGAGACTTAGTGCAAGTATGCGCGGAAAATTTTTCATCGCCGTGAAAGTTCGTCGCTTACCTTCGCGAAACTTTGCACGTTTTCCACGATCTCATAGAGAAATTCGTGGAGCAAGTTACGACTTCGCGTCCGTATCACTTTTTATTCATCTTTATTATACTGTCGCGTCTCTCTGCGCTGTCCAATAGCGCGCGGCTTTATATTCGGCGTCATTAAATTTTATTTTATCTTCAAGATTTTGAAGTTTTCCGTGTTTGCCGCGATCGATAATCAGGCCATTTAATCCGTGAAATATGTTTTATTTATAGTGAGATATTTAAACGGCTTATTTCCAAATTACGTACAAGTATGAGGAAGCGGTGGTTTACAAGAGCGGAAATATTTATGCTTGACGATCAAGTACATGAAACTTCGGTTATCTTTTGCAATATTAAATACCGTGCGAACTTCTAATACTTGTACAGCAAACAACAAAGTCGCGATAGCTCGCCGACCTCTGAACCCGAGCTTTTACATCCTGTTTATATAACGTGTCATAGATATCACGCGCTTTCTCCTGACTACAAAACCTTTGGCAAATTTTTACGCGACAATTTAATTGAGCGTCATAGTTATTCGCATTTCTACCAATTTCAGCATTTCATATCCTTCTAATCCTAGCTAAAATTCTATTGAAACAATTCAAGAGAACTCGGGAGAAATTAATTCTCCCAAATTAAAAAAAATAAAATGCTGTTATGTTTGGAATATTTTTCCAAACAAACAACTTGTTCGTGAAACATTTTTCAGTATTTTTGCAAATGACAATGCTTTAGATGATAAAAAATTATTAAAAATATAAAAAAATTGAAATATTGCCGTAAAAGGAACTTCAGTATAAATGTTTTCATAAATGAATATTTTGCTTCCTTTATCTTTCAAAGCCTTTTTTTGTTACTTTTAATATTCTGTGTGTCTGGTTTCTCTCTATGTAACGCTATCTTCGATATCGATGCGTATTCAAAGCACTGTTGAAAAAAAAAAAAAACCATTTCATCCCTCTCGCCGCTGGATATGTAAAGGATGTTGCCCCCCGGCGCAGTGTAAAATTGCTCATGAAGCAAAATAAAATTTGATAAGTTCATTGTAATAGCCTCGATATTGGTAGCTATAATCCTCTTCAAGCGCAGTTTACCCGCGCCGAACAACAGCGAGAAAAAGATCGCGATATTCAAATCTATCATAAAAACGGGATTATACGCGCGCATCGATCGTGCGATTCTGCCGGTACGCTTGCCGTTGATAAAGCTTCTTTATTCACGACGGGAACGATGGAAGCGGCCTGGACCATTGCTATTTTCACATGTTTCGTTGTAGCGTGTACGAGTACAACGACTATACAAATATGCCACGGTTGCTATAGAACAAATATAGAACATTCGGATTAGGACGGCCGCGCTTCACTGACCTAATTTCGTCCTAGAGTGAAGCGCATGATTGTTTAATCCCAGCTCTAACATCCGCTTTCGACTTTCAGGTATCGCCGCTACTTACACGCCTGGTCACTGCGAGAACAAGAGTGAGTATTTCTTTTTTTCTTACTTTTATACGCGAAAGATTCGCAATTGTACATCGTAGTTTTGTATATCTGTTATTTGCCATTTATTGGCATACAACTGCATTCAAGATAATTTTTCTGAAATACAGTTATAATTTTCGTTGGTATTTTTTAAATTATTATGTATCGTATAAAGAGAAAAATAACGCTCCATTTTTTAATTAAAGTAACCAATAAAATATGAGCAAAAAATGTTTATACTTTATGTGGATATAAGCAATCGATAAACGGGCAAAAAATGTCTGTATTTTATACCGATTCGAATAACCAATAAATATAGGTATTTTTGTCAATACTTGCTGTCACTTTCAAATTGTGAGTGAATGCAGATAATTTTTGTATCTGTATCACTGAAAACTGAACTGGTTCATCCATAAAAGATGAATCCGCCTCATGAATCTAAATCCTTTTATCCTAGAAAAATAGACTACCAGAGTCCGTTAAATATTAGCATACTTATGTGAAATACACTCTTAACTTTAAGCTACGTAAGAATACATTGTTGTTATCTCTTAAAGCTCTCAAATATCTTAAGATATAACAAAACGAAGAGTTAAACAGATGGGAAAAAATATCTGCTCGTGAAAACTTTAAGCATAGATACCGTAAATGTCGCATCTAATTATCTTCCGTTGGTTAAAACTTAAACTGAATTTGAAATTAATCTTACAATTAATTTTTTGGCTTTATGTAATTTTCAATGCCGCTTTTAATTCCGCGGAAATAAGTCGTGCAGTTTATTGTGCAGTTACTTAAATTAAATTTTAATACAATCCAAGATCCTCCAAGTTTAACATTAAACTTCCAGCTTTTGTGTAATTGATAAAATTGGCATACGAACGATGAAGTCTTTACATTCACGAATTATCCTTCACGGTATCGAATTTCACAGATTCGTCGAACGCTAGACAACTTTGGCGGATGATATAAAAATACCTGGAAATTTTTATCGCGGATTTTCTTAATTCTATCGAAGTAAAGATTTAACGATGTTCTCGTAAATATTCAAGCGCTACCAATCTCAAGACCGAGCTGTTCCAATCAAGCGACTCTTTGGACGTCGAAGTTAATTAGCGGCTAAGTAATTAAAGTCTTTGCCGCTCTTATTTCAAGTAATGCAATTTAACTTTCGTGGAATTCCGCACGGACGGTGTGCGCGACGGTTATTGCGACGATTTACGGCCGCGAGGCAATCGATTCGAAAGAGGTGAAGCACGGTCGGCGATGCAAAATTTCCTCCCTATATTACGAATGCTTCTTTACAGGTGTAACGTGGGTTTTAATTTACGCAAATGCGAGATCTAATTACAAAGGCGCGAGCGCCGCGCGTAAATTTTGTCGCAGTATCCCGTTGTACAAATCGCTCGAGTGGAATGACGAGTGTCGCTTTGAAGTCTCGCCATTAACGCCGCTAATAAATGCGACAATGGTCAATACTTGCGACGATCGATGCACGTTTACCGGTTAACCGTGATTTACGCGATGTGCACGTACAGATAACCGCGTCGGTCGCGAGCTCTGTAGCGAAATTTAATCAAACTTTCGGTGCCCATTGGGATACGAGTTACAGTATCGAATTTCATCGTGTGCGGGACAAAGCCGCGACGAGAGGTTCGCTCGTATTTTGTGCCTTCGCATTGTTCCATCCACGCAAAATCGATAGCATTTAACGCACTCGTCGCACCGTTCGAGCGTGCAAATGCATAAATTGATATCCCTAATCATTAACAGTTCACACATGTCGCATGTAGACAAAAATTTAATTGGACAGTCACTTTTTTTTTACATTTTTTTTATTCCGAATTCGTGAATTCTGTTTACGTCGGTCGGAAGAAAAATTGCAAACTGCGACAAAACCGATAACCGATCGGTTTGACTTTATAAATTTCTGATTAAGGGGTGGATTGTGGCGCTTGAAATTAACTTGATCCGAAATATAAAGTATAAAAATGAAAATTGGCAAAAATATGATTATGCCGAAAATAGAAACTTACAGTTTGAGAGACTCATCTTAATATTATTAGTATCATCTATAAATTTAAGTGATAATTGGATTAGAAAGTATTTAATATCTAAAGAAGATGCGCGAGGAATCGAAAGAAAAGCTAAAACAAATTACAATTCGAGCTGCGAGTAACATACTTTCCAAAGGACCCGCGGAAACTCGCTATTGCGAAGTGCTTTTCTGGGAGTAGTTCTACATTCTGAGAGCGTATTACGTTGCAGGCATCGCGGGATGTCGAGCACGCGAGACTACCAGAGTTCCTCACGGAATTGGACCTGTCGAGTCTCGAAGCATCCGAGGAAGATGTTGAAGCGCTGAAGAAAATCGTGAAAAGGCTGGCGCCCGAGAAGAACGGCGAGTACCAAGTTTTCCAAGGTTCTTTCAAAACTGTCCTACTAACCTCGAGACTACATCGCGCTAATCTTTTCTTTTTTCGATCCGACTAAAGCAACTCGCTTTTTTCTTCCATTGCCAGTCTTCTTCGGTAACGAGGATCTTCTCAAGGAGTGGCTCAAAGGAGCGGGTATTATTACTCAAAGCGTGCTTTCCTCTATGCATGATGCATCCTTTGATGTAACTGTTCTTGCATTACCTCTTTCACTAGAATTGTAGAATAAACTGTTTAAATTCGCTTAGCTCTTTTGTAGAAACCGCTTAAATGAAATTATTTGTGGAAAAATTCTGCAATTCTTGAAAAACTCAACTATTGCTTTCGAAACTTATTAAACCGTAAGCTTTAATTGAACTTTTCAATTTAAGATTTTCAGATTGCTATGAATTAAAATTAGATTAAGATCATAAATATTCCTATTAATATTTTTATGGATTCTCTTTGCCTATGCATATATTTGCATGTGTATATTTGCTTTTCGCACATAGACTTAATGCACGCTGGTTAAAAATTTTCAGCGCCTCAGCAAAATGCAAATATATCGAAATGTGCCGCTTTAATGAGTTTGCAGCGTCGCGCTACGATTTCGACCGCGATACAGGAAAAAAAAAAAATGAGAGCATCCAATGTTTTGTGTCGCGCGTCTCTGCCGTCTCGCCGGAGCGTCAGATATTACATAAGGCCGTGTAAGCGAAAGTCATTGAATGCGTGCGAATATCTCGGAGCGATCGGACTGCGTTTCTGCTTTCCCACGAAGGTGCAATTTTTCGTTTTACGATGATTGTGCGCCGGCGCTTCGTGACTTTCCACTGAAGTGACAGACTTTCTATGGCTCTGCCATTCTAGCCGATCCGCTATTTCGCTAAACGTGACGTAATTGCATTGTTACAGCCAGTGATTAAATTTTCGAAACATGACGTGACGGGTATCGGCAAACAGTTTAACAATCATTTATCATCTTTTGCACGAAGCGTCGTGATGCTTAGGGGTCTAAACGATCTTTATTGTTGGTTTCGGTTGTTGTGCCGCGCGGAATTTCCTATGCACGGAAAAATCGATGGTATAATCTGCATGGCTCGTAAAAGCTTAAACGATTATGTCGTAATACTTCATACTTTTAAAAGCACGGTCGCGAGAGCGTGGCGGGGCGAATGTCTGAAAGCTCATCGCGATGTGATATAACAAGCGCTATAAAATTTAATAATACTTCACTTCATACTCAGGCGTGACGGGACAGCCCGGGGTGGATTATCCAGCCCTCACGTCGATTCCAGCCACCTCATTCAGCTGTCGCGGTCTGAGAGGGGGATATTACGCGGATTTAGAGACAAATTGTCAAGTAGGTGACATCAATATTACGCACTTCGCTCGGATAAATAGTTCTCTCGGAAGTTCGCGTTGAGAAATGTTCAATTCGGTGATCATTAATCGCGAATTTTTGAAACTTGAATAACTTTGGAAAAATGTCGAGTATAAACGTTAAATAAAAGAACATTTTTCTAAGCAAAAAGAGAAAGAAATATTTTTTTCTTTAAGACAAACTTTCCTTAGTGTATCTGAATTATTTTTACGCAGTTTATAAGACCTCCTTTCCAAACAAAAGTAAATAAATAACGAAATTTGATTACGACGCTCGTACCGTTTTTTCACCGAGAGATTAATGAGAGAATGTGTTCATCAACGCTGAATGTGATTTCAGGTATTCCATATCTGCGACAATGGACGCAAGATCTCGTTCCTGTGCCCCAACGGCACTATATTTCAGCAGTCACAGCTTATATGCGACTGGTGGTTCAAAGTGGATTGCAGCAAGTCCGCGGAGCTGTACGAGCAGAGCGCCGAGCAGCTGGCCGAGGAGGAGAAGAAGCGGGCGGACGCGAGGAAGATGAAATCCGAGTTCCATCGCACGGAGGATAACCCGCCTAATTACTACGATAATCAGAATGTCGATTACGACGGCAGGCAGAACGGTCGAACGAATCCGTACGGCCAGTCCGCCGCCAATCAGATTCCGGAGCGCCAAGAGGAACCCAAGTCCGGCCAGCACTTCGGGCCGAACAATGTTTTCGACAACGCGCGGGATTCCGGTCGCTACTTCCAGGAGAACAACGCGAACGCGTTGCGCACCAGCGAGAAGACGAGCCAGTCGCCCGAGAACTTTAGTCAGCCGTCGAGACAACGGAATCGGGACCATCACGACGGCGGCACGAATTATCAGACAGTCAACAGGCAGAGGAATCAGCTGGCGGACACGCAGAGCGGCAAATTCAATTACGAGCACGGGAACAAGTTCCAGGACACGCGACAGAATTACCAGAACACGCTGAACAACGCGCAGGACTATCGAGCCGGCCAGAGCGCGGCGGCGCGCAGCAACGAGAAGCCGGGATTCCGAAATCCGAAGTCGCGAACCTCAACGTCGCGGAACAATCTCTTCGGCTCGAGCCAGTCGCAGAAGGTCACGCCGACCTACATGGAGACGACGACCTTCAGAACGACGACCCCGGCGCCGCCGAGGGAGTTCCAGCAGTTCGCCGAGAGCGCGGCGTTCGTGTCGAATCGGGGAAATCGCTTCAATTCCGGCAAGTTCGACGGCAATCGGCAGTACTATTATCACTCGTACGAGCAACGGGACCGCTCCACGGCCGGCCACGAGACGACCACGTTGACGCCGAGGGAGAGCACGGTGTCCTTCACGCCGAAGACGGGCGCGCCGCCGTTCCCCGGGCCGACATTCGCACCGATTTACAAGCCCAGGACGACGACGCTGCCGCCTTACGAGACGACGTTGCAGTACACGCCGACCACCGAGACGTCCTTCTACAGCACGTCTTACTACAGGCAGAACGATATTCCGGAAACCACGTACGCCAGCGCCGACACCGAAACCGCGACCGTGACGCCGTCCTCCGCGGAGGATTACGCGACCACGGCGTCCCTCGCTGCGCACAGCGACTTTCGCACTCCCCCCGCGATAGGAAGGGTGCCGCCGGCCGCGAACTATCAAAGCCAGCAGTACGTTAATAACAGAGTGACCGAGCAGCGGGACACCGAGCGGGACACCGTCTCCTTCGCCACCACGCGTCCTTACGTCAACACAGAGAGTTATCGACACAACACAGCGAACGCTACGTCGGCCGTCAGCGAGAGCGCGTTCCCCTCGTCGACGCCGTCCTACGAGAACACCCGCGGTCAGACCGCGACGACTCGCGCCAATTATCAGAAGGACAACGGCGTGGCGGGTGTCGACGCCAGAGGCACGACGAGGGATCCTTGGCGCGCGTCCTCGCAGAATTCGATCAGCTCGACGGAGAAGCCGTGGAAAAGCACGAGTGTTTATCAGCAGAACGGCTCCACCAGCAAGACCCTGAGTCCTTACGACACCAGTATCACGTATCAGCAAGGGAAAGTGCTGTCCACCCTGGGCCCGTACGTGCCCTTCACGAAAAACTACGTTTACTCCACGATGACGAGCACGCCGACACCGAAGACGCCGGCCACCGTGCCGAGTCACAGCTCGACGTCGACGAATTATCGCACGACGGCGAACAATCTGAAGCCCAAGGCGACGAGCAAGCCTAAGGATCGGGCGACTTATCTGCCGGAAACCAGTAGCAAACGACCGACGACGACCCTGGAGGACAGACCGTACGCCGAGCGGGAGCACGCGCTCAGCATGCTGCAGTCTCTTCAGGGTCTGGAGAACAGCGCCAACAGTCTAAGCGAGAGCGACAGGAAGGGCGCGTCCGGCCGAAACGTGCAGTTCGCGCCCGGCCCGTCCACTCTGCACTCGCTGGCTCTGTACTTCGCCACCGCCGGCGACAATTTCGACTCCAACGAGACGATCGAGTCCACCGCGAGCGTGGAGCGACTGGAGGCCGAGGGCGGTGAAGGGGCCGCCACGCGCAACGCGTCCGTCGAGCTGCCAATCAGCATCCTCACGCAGCACACCATCACCTCGTACGCCGAGCTGTTCAATCTGAACAACGCGCTCGAGGGCAACGCGACGGCGACGGAGCTCGCGGAGGAGGCGGACGACGCCGGCGGCGCCGAGATCGACGACGATCTCGCGATCGAGCAGAGCGAGGGACCGCTGAACGGCGCGAAGCGATCGAACGGCACGAAGCTGCGCGAGCTGGCGCAGGTCTTCACTCACGCTCTCTCGGCGTATCTGCAGGACCCGGACACCTTCAAGAAAGTGCTGACGGAGATTCGGCCCACGGAACCGTCGCCGACGACGACCGACGGCGGCCAGTTCGAAACGACCACGCTCTATCCGACCACCGTGGAGGAATACTCGTCGGTGACGAAGGAGAAGGACGAGGTGCTGGACTTCTCGGACGACACCGACGCCGCCAGAAGACGCAAGCCGTCCACGATATTCCCCACCACTTTGCAGCCGCCCGCGACCACCGACAGATCGTACCCGATTTACTACACGACGTCGGATGATGACGATTACGCGACCACGCGCAAGCCAGCCTACTATCCGAGCACGACGCTGCTGCCGCCCGGCACTTCGTACGATTCCGGCGAGTTTCCGGAATCGTCGACGCAGGGCGGCAATACGTTCGCGTTCGAGGTGAACAGCGCTTTCACCACCACCACCGCGAACGACATTCAGAACTACGACGGCGGCGACGCGAGGGACACGACCGATCTGTCGCCGATCTACGACAATTATTTCCCGCTGGAGGAGGACACGAATCGAAAGAAAATCGGCGGATTTCACAACAACACGGTGCGAACCTTCCAACCGTACGGCAAGAATGTCAAGCCGCTCGACGCTACGCCTATCAGCAATTACGTGGCGTCGTCGACGCCGGCGTCTTTCGCCGGGACGACCGCGTCCAGCTGGGGCAGAGGCTCCGCCGGCGAGAGACCCGTGCAAAACCTGACGCCGCCTCATTATCAACGCTTTGGTAACGTGAGAAGCTTCGAGGTTTCGAACAGCATCGTGCCGAGTCAGACGGTGCGCCCGACGACGCCCTTGCCGAGAAGCAAATCCACCCAGCAGACCGGCAGCACCGTGCAGCCCTTCAGAATACGCTATTACGAAACGACGACGTTGCCGTCCGAGCAGCGAAAGAGTCCCAGTCCCGAGTCTCTCGTTACGGCTCGCAGCTCGTACGCGAAATACAGGAACAATTACAATCGCATAGAGGGCGCGCACGTGCCGGCGTCAACGACGGTGGCAACGACGATCCGTGACAGCGTCGGGACGCTCGATCCCGTCACCGCGACCGTCAGCGACGCCGAAGTCACGCCGTACACGACCACCGTCGCTCGCGCCACTTCCGGCAAGGCAACCGACGTCGACCACTAGACAGTCCACCAGACACTCCAACCTGCTGAACAACGATCACTGGACCTCCTCGCCGATGGTCACTCAGCTCTGGGAGACGACGGTGTTCGTGGATCCGCGGCACATTAATCACGGTTTACAGTCGCGCGACGACGCGACCACGCTCGTCGCCGCCGATAACGCTGTCAGCAAGAAACCCGCCACCGCGGCGACCACCGCGAAATCGACGACGCGCTCCGCCGAGCATTCGGAGGCAACGCGGACTACAACGAGCGCACCGAGTACCTGGCAATGGACGCCGAACGACAACGATTCGCCGGTGGCGTTCACTCTGCTGCCGACGACCTACGCCGCGGAGAACACGGCGACGCCGACGCCGATCATCACGACGCGATCCAGCATAACGACGACGATCACCTCGTCGGTGACGTCAACCAACTCCCGGGACAATCTGGTGTCCACGCTGCTGCCCTTCGCGGTGACCGCGAACAACGCGCTGAACGCTACCGAGAACGAAGTGATCAAGGCGCACGAGATGTTCGGTCGGTTGAACGAGACGAGCTCCAACACGCTGATGCGTGTGATGCAGCAGGCCGACAGCAACGCGATGGTGAGGCAGCTGGTGCTGCTGCTGATCAGCCATTGCAACGGGCCGAGGAACAAAACGTCGGAGCAGGAAAAGGAGCAACTGCTCGACGCTCTTCTGAGGATGCCTGTTAACGAGTTCAGTTCCGAGGAATCGCGGGAAATTGTCGCCGGTATCAGCAGACTTAATCTTCCTCTTGGTACGTTAAACGAGAAATAAATAAGCGCGAAAACGGCTGTGATTTCAGAATTGTTTAAATAGTACGTGCTATATTTTCACAAACGTATGCTGACAACTTTGTTAATTTTTTATCTTAATCGTAATTTTTATTTTATTTCTAACAATGGCAAATTTATTTGAAAAATGCACATTGATGATTTGTAAAAATATAATACTTATTGTTTAGATAAATGTAATATATTTTTACGCTACAGCTGTTGTCTGCTTATTTGCTGAAAAATACAGAATTGAAATTGAAACAGTATTGCTAGTATTACTAAAGTGAGTACTAAGTTAATGATGTTACTAAAATGTCAATTGGTGGTTTAATTTTTTAAAGTTATAATGATATTTTATTTTTAAGCAAAAAGCATCGAGAAAATAATGGATATAATTAAAATGGTTGACATCTAATTTCAACTGCGCGGAGCTGCTGTAATAACTCCGAGACAATCGATCACGCAATCCTCGTTATCGTTGTATTAATGAAAAAAGTTTCCAGCCTTTCATTAGCCGCTTTAATATTGCATTATAAAGATATAATGCAAGTCACGAGCGGAGAAATAAAAATCAACATGAGAAAATATCATGAAAATACTAAATTAAAAAAATTTTCTCTTTATTTTGCCACATAACTTTTTCAATTTGCTATTCTGATTTTGTGCAAAGAAAATAAAAATGTTACTTTAATTAAAAAATTTTTTTTTAAATTATTTTTCGATTTATCAAACAATACAGATTATCTCTCTATATTTTTTTCAGTCAAAACACGAACGACTTCGTCAAATTCCACGACGACGAAGACACCGCGATCGACGTCCGTAAAACCTACGCCTTCCGCACCATCCATCACGACCTTCCGCAGTAGAACGGGACGAAAGTTCCGCACAACCACCGAGAGCGCGAACGGGTTCGCCAGAAGATCGGACGAGGCCGTGCCGGACGCGAACAATTCCTTATCGGAGGACGAGGCCATCGCGTCCGATAGCCGAGCTCTCGAGCTTCTTAGGTCGCTCTACACGATAGCTGCTAAGTGGGGCTGAGGAGCCGCACAATCGACGACCGATCGGAACTACGCGCGCGTCGGCAGACTCGCGAGATGCAGATCTCGCTGGAGTACTAGAAGACGTCCATCTGTCGATACATCGTAGAGTAGATCGTTGCTGTCACCGTGTCACTCCGACTAACCTCAAAATCGAGGGCTCGAAATCGAGCCCGAACGGTGAATCTCGGTTTTGATCTCGGCCCATAAATCGATGCAACAAATAAGAATTTGAATCTGCAAATGTTACCGCGAGAGAAATATCGCACTTCCCAATAGTATTTGATTATCGTTCAGAAATCGGTAATGTGTTGATCGCTAATTCCGACGCGTTCCAAGATTGATCGCTATTACACTTGTGCAGCAGAGAGGAATTGGGAAATTGAGTTTCGGCTTGTTCTCAGATCGATAATACGCCGCTGCGACAATGAAGTTCGATTTAACTTGGGGCCGAGATTGACACCTGCGCTCGCGGATATTAAGTAGGTCGTACAACGACCGGTTTCAGATTGTGATCCGAGTTGGCTGCTTGGTACCCGCGACCGAGCGTAACTCGTGTCGGTTAATATGCGGAGTCCCGATCGATCATCGATCGACAAAATCGCAGTATAATAATTAACCGGTTGTAGTCCGACGTTAAGATTATGTATTGCTCGCCGTCCTTTTCATTACGAATAAAACATCGATCGCCTCGAAGCATCGGCAACTATTACTTGCAAAAAATGCCTGCCATACTTCGTCCCTCCTGTTCAGCGGACGCTGAACGTATTAAATATTCAATTTCACTTTTTCTCATTGTCTTAATAACTTTAAATATTATGCAAGATATTTTACTTATTTTTAATGTGCAACAATATAACAAGATTCGCAATAATATATAAGATTCGTTTAATTGTATTGAACAATCATCCAAGCGCATTACCACGCTATATCTACGTTTGTAAAAAAAATTCAACGAAATTTCACGTAATTGTTTTAATTTAAATCTTGCAATCGTGCAATCGATGCACAAAGATGCAATTATACCTGGAATGAGAAATTAATTCAAACTGCTGATATAGAACTTGAGAGAAACGTTAACATTGTCGATTTCATTATATTCAAAGCGTAATTATATTCATGTAAAACGATAATTGTTCTGCATGCGCAAAGGGGTAAGGATTTTGTACGACTCGTCCTACACTCCTCTCGCAATGTTACCAGGTATATCCTCAATTTGCAACTTGTCTTTGTTGAATTACACGCGTAATTGGCAGAATGTGATGGCACGTGGTGAATTGCACTTGTACGCTTATGGTTATTCGTACCGGTTGAGTTCTACGTGGCACAATTCCACCTTTTCAATGAGACCACTTTCCGGCCTCTTACGAAACCCGCGTTAATTCTCAGACCGTATTAATTCATTCTCCTTCAGCGGTATTAAATTGATGTTCGCGAGTTGCGCGTTGCGTACGAATCTCCATCAGCCGAAAACTGCCGTCGAACTCATGTACGTTCAGTATTACGAAAAGACTCCTGGGAGGGTTCCGCCCAGCTTTTGCCGACGGATCCGTGAAATTATTTATTCAACTTCGCTAATGCGATTCCTACGTACCGGCTAAAACAGTAAGCTACTTGTATCTTGAAATTACGGTGTTGGTAAACGTTCTCTTTCGTTTTGGCGGTTCGAGGTCGGCGATGCGCTTCCGTTGCGATCCCGAAACGTCCAAACGGGGTTCCTAGGTCATTATTTAAGTACGCGATTTAGCGTGTAGTTGTGTCGACTTTATGTAATATACCTTTGTACAGTATGTGAATAAATATATACAGGATTTTGTTTACCTGTGTTTTACCTGCCAAACGTTCCTCATAATTATTTTCTTTATACTTTTCACTCTGGCATAATATTGCGATACACGGTTCGTTACTATATATTTTAAAAGGGTGCAAATGTTACATTTATCGCGTTAAATGTAACTGCTTTAATCATCCATTAAATGCTATATTCGTGCGCTATTTATGGCTCTTAATATAGGTTTTAACATTTAATTGAGATCGTAATAGTGTAATTATATATTATAATTACCCATGTAGCTCATTTATGCGGAGAATGAATTTGCTAATTATTATTTCACGATCACATTAATAATAAATACAATTAGTAAAGTTGCGATTTCGTTTACATTAAAAAAATCCGAGTATTTAATATTTTTTAACAAGTATTTTTAGCTCGTTATAAATTAACTTGTTATAACTAATTTATAACGAGTCAAAAATGTTCACCAAAAAGTCGATGCAAATCCTTAATTAGTCGCTCGAATTAAAAATGCCATTAACATCGAAAGTAATAGAACACCGGATATAAACTTTTGAAGAAGTCGTTTGCTCTCTAAATATATAGACTGCTACAGATGTTAGCGCGGCAATGTGTTAATAAGCCAAGTAGACTAATGAGAGTCATTAATGTTTTTTGCTGCAAGTCCTCGGAAGGACGAGCGTGGAGAAACGGCCACGGTCGTCAACGATTGCGCAAGCACCGTAAGAACAGGGGGGTCTTCCTCTTATTCTTCCTTGTACATATACATCCGGCGATTCGCGCGCGCGCGCACACGCAGACGCGCGTTCGTAAATACACGTTTCTAGGAATCTCGCAGTCCGCGAGCCTTAAGATACTCGGATGCGTTGTTAAAAAATAAATTAACGTGTATTTCGCAATTGACAGATGATAGAATCTACTCTCCGACATCGTAAAAGAATCGCTAAAAGATTTCCGTAATAAAATATGTCATAAAATGGCTGAGAAACGCCGATTCGCATAATTTCACTCGCTCTGACGAGGAAACGGGAGAAGCGAGCGTGGCGCATCGCGAAGACTCGCACCCGGGTCGGAGGCCATTGCAAATGGCTGATTAATATTCTTAAACACTTACCATAGCCAAGGATCATCATAAGCAGGATGCAAGAGCGTTACAAAACCACCCTGCAAGGACGGCACTTGTTCGCGTCACGCTCGATCGCACGATTGCCCCGCGGCTGTTGCCAGAAGCGACAGATCGTAAAGCTCCTGAAAAAGAAAAGAACGGTGAGATCGAGATAACGGTGAAAAACGTATTATTATAATCTAATAGAAATTTCCTCTTTAAACTGCACATTAATATCGAACGTTTTGCAAAATTATTTTTCAAAAAATATATGCTTACACAATTTCTAATTATTTTCCGCTGCGGAAATGATTATTGAAACATATCAGATATCTTTTTGAGCAAATAATAATCCGGAACAAATTTTTAACGATAAATAAATTTGATATCAAGAAAACATATGTAAATGTTGACCAACTTTTCAGGCATGGAGTCTTTCGAATTCAGGTGCCTCGCGTGGCGCAACTTTTGCCTTCGCCGTAATGCGAAAGGACATCCGCCCTCGGCAAGACCTAGACCGATTCGCCGCCTCGACGCAACATATTCAAATTAATGTCCGGAGATCGGTATCCAAACGCGAAGAATTACAAGAGGCAGGAAGAAGATCGTTGCTTCTCCGCTCGAACATTTTGCTTTTTCCGTAATTGTAAATGAAAGAATACAGTGATGTAATTATGCTTGAGCGAGCATCATATTAACTCGCTGGAATTGTCTAAAGTATACAAAACTGTACTAGTCGCCTTAAAAATCATCCGTCATGCTGTTCGCTGCGCTTTTCTCTACTTTTTTACGTAACGTTTTTCGCTACTTTTATACGGAATTTGATCTTTGATTTTCTGGAGTCGATACAAGCATGTTACAAGCTAACAAGATTTACATAATTACTGCCTGTTGATGTTATCGAAAAAAATCTGATAAAGTACTGTTTCGACAGGCGCGAATGCACTTAAAATAACGCTGCAAGGAACGTGCACTGAGCATTCAAGTGCTGTGTAAGATTCAAATATGAAGTAATGACAGTCACTATCGGCACATAACCATTTCGCATAATGGACGGTAATGCCGTGTGAACATGAGCAATTGTCACGGCGAATCACAGGTTAATTCTCTGCGGTAGTATGAAACAAAAACTCCATGTGAAGTGAAAAGAACTGGATCGATAATTTGAGTTTGTCGAACAACTGACTCGGAAATTCAGCTATGGAGAAGGTTAGTTTTATTTCTTTTGAAATACTACGGACTTGCGCGTGTGTTATGTACTGACCTAGTACACTTCCGAACGATTGAAGTTGCGTAAGAACTTTAGTTGTGTAATAGTAATAAATATATATGCTTTTGTAACGAGTTTTTTTTTGTAAAAATTGTTCTTAAATAAAAAATACAATTTTACATAATATTTTTAGTATCCCTTTTAAGAAATTTCCGCATTCTTAGATCATAAATTTTCGCAGCAAGTTATTACTTTTATTTAGTACCTTCGTGCGTTTTCGGACATTAGTGTAACAATTAGGACAATCGAGATGTAGAACATTACAATTTTTCTCCATTATTATACAAAAATTCACGTTTTAATTTTACGGTCAAAAATTTAAATTTACGCTCGTGGAAAAAAAATGGAAAAAAATTTGCCAGCACGAGAATTTAAATAAATCTTTATCCCGGTAGATTTTCCCGGCACATTCGGACTACTTTCAGACTGACTTTCATTGTACAGCCCGAACGGGACATCGGGGATCGAGGCCGGTCCGATTCTGAACGTGGATCTCCCGTCTGTACAATTATCTTCGCGCTCTACTGGTGAGGCGGTAAAAGGTCGCGGTTGATGCAATCGACCACGATATACCCTGCAGAGTACGCGGTTAGATTACGGCGTATTGGCCAATTGCCAGAGCTCAATTAAGGCTTTTTAGTTTTACGAGCGCTTATCGGCCACTCGTAACGTTCAGTGCGTAAATTATTTTTTAAATATGGATCGTATTGCGTACTAAACTCAACATTGCCCATTATGGATAGATTTCTCTATGTGACAACAATACGAGAAAAGCATCGACAGAATTGACGCCGCTCGCCACATGTTTCAATAAACGAAAAGATCGTAGCTGAATAGTTTATTAGCACAAAAAACAGTGCTTTTATTTTTTTTATTCCTTGTATAAAGACTTATTTTCTCAACTAATGTAAACAGTAGAAACACTTACTAAAGTTCTTATATTATAATTTTAACATTTTTATATTTATTGCAATCATCGCGTGTTCGGTTAAAGAAAAGGTTAAAACTGCTAACCAGCTATTACAGTTAGAGGTACAATAATTTTTAGAAAGAAACATTATGATTTACATCCCAATTGATCATGAGAAAATTATCGGTTTTAACGAGCGCTCCACTGGCGAGATGTACTCACCATAAAACTTGTTGAAAAATGAGTGTTAATTGTCTTTTTTTTCTACAGCTGTATAAAAATTAATATTTATTCTTTCTTTATCTATGAAGAAACCAAGGAAGTTAGCCAGTTTCGCGTGTATATTATTAACAGCATTACACATCTGGTGTATTGACATTATCACAGTGTTTAAAATTGGTTATAGCCACTTATGACGGAGTTGCCAAATTAGGATAAACTTTTGCATTTACATAACCGAACATTAATAACGATGATCGACGAAAGCTCAATTACGCGACCAGAAGCGTATACTTCGCGCTGGACCGTGTGCCATTTCTCCGGCGAGCGCGTTTACCGAGCGCTTTCACCGCGCCGGTGCTCATGCATACCGATTCGGATCGCTGCCTCTTTTTAGCATTGATGACATGGTGTGTTACCGAATCTCGAGCGATCTCCCTCCTCGTGTGGGAGGGGAAACAAATAATGGTAGAGGTCACATGCGCGCGCGGATGAGGCAACCAGCGCGGGATGTTAATTAACCCGTAATTGCGGAGTCACTCTTTCTCGAGCACTTTCATTCAATGCGAATGCCGAATGATTCGTCTACTTTACGTATCGGGAGAAGAAGTAAAATGAGCCTATTTCACACATGTTAGCGCATTCTTGGCCTGCCGTGATTACACTTCGCGGACGAGCTATTTCTCAAACGAAGGTTCACACCACGTATTTAAAGCCGAATACGCCTATATTATTCTCGGCCTATGATAATCCAGGGCTGGGCATTCACGTCTTTTAATGTTTGAGAAACGATGCGTGCGCGGTTTGCTCAATATAAATTAACAGAGAGAGGTGTAATAATAATATCGCAATAACATTGCGATAATAAGCAATCTTATTTGTAACTGTATCTTTTAATCACTGACGATTGCATCAAAAGTGTGATGATAATGATTAATGGTTCATATTTCAAATGTGAGAAAGATAAACTTCCTATCGTTAATAATAACATTTATGGCGGTATTTTATCGGACAAATAAAGTTCAGAATTAGACAACAACAATTTGCGGTAGATTAAATTAAGTAAAATTTTTTTTCCGACCTCTCGCTTTACGACAATGTGCCGCAATTGGCTCCGATTCGATTAATAGCGATTTTCTTATTTGCCGCCGGAAAATATGTCGATGGAAGGACAAACCTGATCGAACCCTGGCGAGAATCCCGTTCGCTGTAATAATCAAATAACAAGTCTCGCTGTCGGGAGATAAATCAAGTCTCAGATTGTTTCAGTAATGAAATTAAGAGGCTTCCAGCGTGCCTCGTAGAGTAAACATCATTCCTTTGTTCTGAATGAATTTAAAAATTCTTTCTGTGCACATCCTCCGGCATTATCCCGACCGCGCGTCATAATTTATGCGAACAACGGCGCGCGGCGATCCCGGCGCTGCCCTCATCGATCATCCCCGACGTCTGCTGAAGACGTCAGGAGAGGTTACATCTCGAGTGCCTGCGCGGAGCGCCGCGGTTTGCATCCGACTCGTAGCGAAC